GCCACAGCTGTCTCACTGTTGGCTCCTCTGGGATGGTGTGCTGGGTGGCTTGGTAAGTTGAAGGGAGTCAAGAGAAAAGAGGCCTTGTAGGCCCTGGACCCTGACTTTCTGGGGTGATTTGGGGTATGTGTGTTGGGACTAACTGACTCATTTTGAGTTCTGTGTTTTTCACATATTCCCACTATATTTTCTTTTTCTTCCTTTCTTATTCAATGGATCCATAGAAATGGGGAATCAAACAGGGGTCTTGAATTTTCTCCTTTTGGGTCTATCTGACCAACCAGAGCAGCAGCAACTCCTTTTCAGACTGTTTCTGGGCATGTACTTCATTGCAACCCTGGGGAACCTGCTCACCATCCTGGCAATTTGTTTTGATTCCCATCTCTACACCCTTATGTACTTCTTCCTTGCCAACCTATCTTTTCTTGATCTCTGTTTTACCTCCACCACAATTCCCAAGATGCTGATAAATTATTCGTTAGGGAGTAATGCCATCTCCTATGCAGAATGCCTGGCTCAAATGTATTTCTATATTGCCTTTGGTGCATCAGACAGCATCCTCCTCTCTGTGATGGCCTATGACCACTACCTTGCTGTCTGTCACCCTTTACACTATTGTACAATCATGACCTCATGCCTTTGTGCCCTATTGGTGGCTGTGCCTTGGGTTTCTGCTCACCTCATTTCAATGGTCCATGCCGTAATGATAGCTCAGCTATCTTTCTGTACAAATAATAAAATCCCTCACTTCTTCTGTGACATAAATGCTTTGATTAAAATCTCATGTTCTGATGCCCATGTCAATGAAATTTTGGTCTTTCTTCTTACCGGACCAATAGTTTTAATTTCTTTCACATGCATTTTGGTCTCTTACACTCCTATTGTCTTTGCTGTGTGGAAAGTCCCATCAGCTCATGGGAAATGGAAGGCCTTCTCTACTTGTGGCTCCCACCTGTCTGTGGTCTCTCTTTTTTTTGGCACCATCATTGGTGTGTATTTCAACCCATCCTCCACTCACACAGCCCAGAAAGACATGATAGCGACTGTGATATATGCAGTGGTCACCCCTACACCGAACCCTTTCATCTATAGCCTTTGGAACAAGGACTTGAAAAGAGCCCTGGGGAAGCTTCTTGACTTACAATGTTTCTCCAAGGGATGATTATAGTGACATTTGTCCTATTCTAAAAGAGCTAAATATAGTATAAAATAAAGAGGCTAATGTGTTGAGCTAAGATCAACAGATTGGTGTCAACATGGATGAAGACCATTAGTGTTGTGTCAAAGGACTTTGCAATTGTTGATATTATGTTCAAATTTTATTTTAATGAAGCATTTTGAAGCCATAGATGGCATGCTTGTCAGATCTGTGGATGACATGAATCTGGGAGGAATACTTTGTGCTTTTTTTTTTAACAGAATTGAAATGTAAAAAGATTTCAACAAGTTGTAACAATGGCTTGAATCTAATAAAATGGGCATAATTTAATTGAATTTTATAAGGTACAACTATAACTTACTATACTTTGGTTCATAATTTCAATGTCTCAAGTAACAGGTAGAAATGAGGTTGTCAGACAGTAGCTCATATAAAAATAAACCTGGGATTTTAGTGATTGCCATATATTCTTAAACTTCGATAAGAATATGAAAGTAAAAAATGATCTTACATTTAATGAAAAGAAGTATAGAGTCTAGAATGAGGATAATCACCATTTTGCTTTCTTCTATTATGATAATATTTTAATTCATTGTTTTCTCTTCTGGTACCACATTTAAGGAAAGACATTAACAAGACAGAACATATTTAGAGGAGAGGAGCCAGAAAGATGAGAAAACTACCAGTTAGAAATTATTTCATATAAAGATTAGTTGAATAGACCAGGAATATTTATCTTGGAAAATGGGGAATGTTGCATGTGAGGGGGTATTGAATGAACAACATGATAATCCTTAAGTATTTGAAGGGTTATAATTTGGAAGAGGGACTAAATATTTTGTTTGCAATCAAAAGGCTTACATAGAACCAATGAAGGAGGATTACAGGCAGGCAAATTTCATCTGCAAAATATTCTTCATAAGAGCAATCTAAAAGTGGAGTAGAAGATTTAAGAGGTGTAAACTGCCCGAACTTCTGAATAACTATTTGGTAGGATGCTATAGTTGAGATTCTTAAATACACAGTAAAGTAGGTGATTTCTGATGTCCTTGCAATCTCTGAGATGATATGATTATATGATTTAGCATTTAAAATAATATTGTATTTATAACACAAGGTAAATAAGTTATCTAGCCTCAAGATGTCATGAACATGGATATATAAGGAACAGGATTTAGAAGAAAAGATACAATTGTGTTCCATACCTTTCTGACATTTCATTTATTATTTTCAATGATAACTTAATTCTGATCTTTTATGTTATTTTAATTTTTAAAACTTTATATTATGCCTGATTTGGTCTTCCTATGAACTTGGTATGGAAATGGACATCTTAGGTATTAGGAACCTTTAATATATTAAAGGACTTGATGAGGACCCTACCTTGTCTCCTGAATTGTCCTGCCTATTTGGTTCTATTTATGATCAAAATCTGAAAATCCTTCCATACCCAATGTTTTTGTGCCTCAAATAGTGAGAATATGTCCTTTTCACTGTTAATCCACAGAACAGCAAACCTCACCCTTCCACACTTAAATTCCTACTTTATGCCAAGCCAAAGTTGGACAACAGATATACAAAGACTAAGATGAATTAATACCTGCCTTCAAGAAGCTTACTTTCTAGTGGAGGGAAGCAATATGTTTTCATGTAATGGGAACAAACAGGTAATCCTGAACACCATTCTCCAGTTCACAGTTCCTCTGGGATCTAAAGGGCCAAAAGTTGTTTCTGTTGGTGATAGCAGTATGACAGCATTCTATGCCACAACAGAACTCAGCCAGAGACCAGAAAAATAGATGGATGATGGATAAGACATACAAGGCTGTGCTATATCCCATTAAGTCTCAGAGAAAGAGCTTAGCATTTACCAGAAACCAGTCTTTTCCAGCCAAAGTCACAGAAGACCAAGGTTGTTGAAGCATGAGTTGTTCAATGCTTTAGAAAGTTGAGAGTTTTTGAGACCACCATCAAGGAGAGAGTCAAAAAATGAGGAATAGGAGATATAAGAAAAAAAGACTCAAATTCTCAGAGATTTCAGAAGGAAGAAAAGTCACAAAAGAAAATGTGCATAAGCAAATAAACCAACATAGAAGATATTAATAATAGGACAAATTATGGTCTCTAGATTAGCAAAATGGTTTTAGGCCTCTTTAAATAAATATAAAACAATGCAAAATGAACCATCACCTCTTGAGGTAGAGGACCCAGTGGAATCCTAAAAAAGAGGAGAACCATGGCATAATATTCCTGAATGCTTTAAGAGGGAAATGAGAATTGTGAAAGCAGAATTTATGGCCTACATAGTAGAAATAATTGGCTGGATAGAAAAACTTAAATCTTTGGTGGCAAGTCTCACCAAAGAAATGAAAGAGAGGATAACTGATTGGAAATGCAAATATGAGTCTGACATTAAGTGAAGAAGTTAGATGATCAATAACAAAGAAACATTCTTTGAAAGAAAAGCAGATCTGAAGGAATTATTTGCTTTCCAAACAGCCAAACAACAGAAATACAAGAAGTGTAAACACCATAGCAACCAAGGATAATGATAACAAGAAGCAAATAATAACTGAGATCATTAAAAGATTTCTTTCTAAATGTACATAAGGAGATAAAGGTTAAACCAGAAGTCAAATGAAAGTGGTAGTTGAGAAACAGGCCAGAAACATCATGGAGTAAACCTCATAACACCCCACATACTGTAAAATCATTTTGTGTGTGTGTGTGTGTGACTCAATTACAGAATGGGAGATTGAAAAAGAGATGGGATGTGAAAAAGAAGAGAGAGGGAAATAGATAATATATAGATATACAAATAGACGAGAGATAGGTTACCAATGAAGGAAGAATAAGTCCTATAGTCTCTCTGGAAGAAAAAAATCCTAAAGGAGAATGTGTGATGAGGCAATGATAAGGATTTGAAAAAGAGGGAAAGAATTGGGGAAACTCTGTATCAGTGGTGGGAGGGGATACCATTGATCAATGTTTCCATGGGAGAAGAGAGATAATCTATGAAAAGAAATGGAGACAATAAGTATACTTTTCAGGCATCCTGCCTCAGAAGAAGAAGCAGAGCTCCTGGGTACAACTAACAGTTGGAAGAAAGGGAACTCATGGACCAAGGGAGAAGATTTTGAGGCAAAAGGAAAAAAAAATGGCTAAGGTAAAGACCAAGGTCAGCAATGCACTAAACAATCAGAGATGTAGGAAAATTCCTAGCCTAGGACAACATTCTTTTTATCCACAATCTTGAATTGGTATTTATAAAAGTGAGACACCCAAGTAAAGGGAGTAAAGGGATGATATCTGCAAGGCAATAACATATAAAATACTTAGAAACAACCTGAAAAAGTACCTCAAACACTTTAGTTCCATGAGGAATGGAGAAACTAAAAAAGGATTAAACAAGTATAAGGGCCATGCATCAAAGGAAAAAAATCTGGAATAGACAAAAAGGAAGATAAAAAAGAAAATGAAAGAAAAAATCTGTTTTTGGAAAAAGGCATAGAAAATGAACATTAAAAACTCTTGAATAAAATAAGTTGAAGGGGAAGAGAGAAAGGGAATTCTTCTTGACTTCTTAACTATAGGGAAGAATTAAGTAAACAGATAAAAGCAAGAAAGGAAAAGAAATTAGTAATCAAAACTCTAAAACAAAGTAAAGACATAAAAATTGGGGAGTGAAGGTAAGGGATAAGATCTGGTGGTAATAGGGTTGCAGTAAAATAGATTAAGCTAATATAAATGTACATACTGTCTTGTGTTTATAGAGGAAAAAGGGGAAATTTCCAATACAGGAAAAATATTAGAGACAAATAGAAGAAAATGTAAATATAACTCTTACAGCTTTAAATATGAATGACTTAAATAATCCAATAAAATGAAAAATGTGACAGATTAGATAAGAAAATAAAACTCCACAACATTTCAGCATTCCACATATGCTTACAGAAAACGTATTTAAATAACAAAGACATAGAATATAGAAAAATGAGTGACTGGAAAAAATTTACAACACAGGAAGCCAATAAAAAAATAGGAGCTGCTATCAGGCTATCAGACAAAGAAAAAGCAAACATTTACAACATAAAAGAGATATAAAAGAAAATTACATTAGGTTGAAAGGAACTATAGAAACAAACCAGTATCAATATTAAAATTGTATGGTGCAAATACCTTAGCATCTAAATTCATATAGGACATATGGACTGAACTAGAAGAAGACATAGACAGTAACACAATATTGTAGACAATACGACAACAGTGGCTGGAGATTTCAGCATCTCTCTCTCTCTCACTTTTGAATAAGTCTAACAGGAAGATAAAAGAGAAAGCTAAAATATAGAAATGCATAAATTACTGGGGAAGCTAGAGTTAAAAATTTATGGCATCTCAGCACTACTTGGAACTTTTACAAAATTAAATGTGTATTTGGACAAAGAGATATTGTAAACAAAGGTAAAAAGGTAGAAGTAGTAAAAATCTCCACTACAGACTATAACACAATAAAAATGGGACAAGTTCAGGGATCTCAAGCAGAGACAAAGACCCAAGTGGAGACTTAAGAATGAAATCCTAACTGATGTGTGGTTCCATGAACAAATCATAGAAATAATCAATAATAATCTGAAAGAAAAATGATAATGATGCAACAACTTATCAAAATTTCTAGGCTATAGGTATACAGATATAATAACAAAATAAGAAAAAAAGGAATAATGAATTGAGTATTCATTTAAAACTTAGAAAGCCAAGAAATTGAAGTAAATAAACTTACAAAAAACAGTGAAGAATAAATATTTAAGACTAGAAGAAAATATACTGGAAACCAAACAATGTATAGAAATGATAAATAAAACTAAAAGCAGGTTCTTTGAAAAAAGTAATACAATTTATAAACTTTTAGATAAACCTATTAAAAAGATGAAGATGGGAAATGAAATCAATAAAATGCCAATAAATAAGGCAAATCCATCATAAAATGAGAAGCAATAAAATAA